CAGGGAGAGAGAGGGGGGTCTGAATGATGTGGGGCTCCCATGCTGGAGAGACGGGGAAACTGAGGCACAGAGCGGGGCATGGCTCCCTGTTGGGGAGTGGGTGAGCTGGGATTTCCTCTTTCAGGAATCAAAACAAACATAGAGCAGGAAGGAAGAGGCAGCAGGAACGGGCTCAGATGCAGGATCAGTGCCTGTCCGGGGTATAGATCCCTTTGGGAAGCCGGTGCCCACGGTGCCCTGTGGCAGGGCCGATTCGGGGCCTGAGGTGCCCCCGAATTCGGGTGCAGGGTGGCAGTGCCAGCCCGGTGCTGCGCCAGGACGGGATGGGGCCAGCGGCTGGAAGTGGCCGTCCCAGCCCGGATCTGCGAAAGCAAACAGGAAGGCGAATGGGGAGCAGCCGCTGTGTTTACTCAGAGGTTATTTATTGTGGATCCTCAGAGGTTACTCCTGGGGACTTTTAACACCTTCCTGCTTGGTGCTGGGTCCTTTTGGCCAGGCCTGGATGCCCGGCAGGAGCTTGCGGCCACATCGGAGGTGAGGCAGGTGCCATGCATGGGGTCAGGCCATGTGTCACTCCGGGGCTCTCCGTCCAGTTCCTTCTCCTCCCTTGACTGTTTCCTAAATGTTTGTTTTGCTCTAGAGCCCAGCCTGGCCGGGTGGATGTGGTGGGCATGGATGTGGTGGGGCTGGGACCAGTGCTGAGCTTGGCTCATCCTAGAAAAATCTTTTTCCATTTGATTTTTTCAGAGGTTTTATGCTGTTGCTGGTTTGGGGTAGCAGTTAATAATGCTGATAATCTTTCATATCCATGTCTGTGAAAATGGAGGTGCAGAGCCTATAGGAAGGGGATCTTTCAGAAGTGCTTTTAGTGTTTCCCTCCCAAGAGGGAGGGAGGGAGGGAGAAGTGTTTCCCCTCTCAGGCATGTGCTGCTCTAGCTCTGATGCTCATGGATCGGGCTGCAGGATAAATTTTGGGTGTGCTTTGGGTCAAACCCTGTCCTTTATCATTGCTGGGGGTGGGTGAGGTGGGTTCTGCCCTTTGCTTGGCTTGGAGGGACGTGTCACAAGGTGGTCTCCTTTGTTGTAGGAACCACCACAGGGTCGCAAG